CTGCAGCAGGTTCTCCTCTGCTGTTCCCATGTGCTCGGGACGCTCACGTACAACTAGGATCTGTTTAAAAAAACCGAACAGCACGCACAGTTATTGCTCCCCGTTATCCCGGTTTCCTAGCTTGCCCGTGTCCAGCGCGGGGAAACCGGGCTGTGGGGCGGCTCTTAAGCGAAGTCTTCTGAGCTCTTAACGACAGAATTTTCCAGTGTGTCTTTTGAGAATTTTAGTTCCTTTTTAAAAAGATGCTCACTCGTTTAAATTGTCTGAGTTGGACTTAGCCCTATCTATGAGGGCCTGCTGTATTTGTTCCCTTACAACCCCCCCGCTTCTTGTCAGTTTCTGCAGTTTTTCTACTGTAAATGTTTTATTTGTTGTCTTTGTGTTTGTTTGTTTGTTTGTTATTTTATACAGAGGTTAACGCTTTCTAAGCAGGACTGGTGTGTGCTTTTCTTCTGAAATAATAATTACTTAAAACCCAACCAGCTAGGAAACCTGTAAATGTAAAAAGGATTGTGCGGACGTGAGCAGCATATTTTTATTTCTGGGTGCAGTAGCTATTTACTGAAGTCTTAACATTTAATGTATTAAATTCTGTCAGGCAGTGTCTAATATAAAACCTTGTTGAAATGGGGGTTTGGCTGCAACAATTGCAAATCATTCCAAACAACATCCAAACAGGAAAAAACACAGCAAATGTTATGTATGTTTTTCAAGATTTGCTTAAATGCAGAGTAGGAATATCGGCTTTGGTGCTTTTTCTTGTTTTATAGGTAAGATTTCTTGTCATGTAGGTTTATTTATTTTTATATTCTTTAAGTACAAGAATGTGTTAAAAGGCAGGATGAAATAAAATCCTACAAACAGGTTTCTAACACGATTGCTATTTTAATGGGCAATTTTACAAGGATGGATTTAGTTTCAGTAATAGTTTTAAGAAGAGTTTTAAAGAGACATCAAAGTGTCTGAAATCTTTGTAACAGAGCTAGCCTCAAAGATCAGAGGGGAAAAAAAGTATTTGAAAAGTGCTTCTTACTTTTGAAAAGGTCAGGATTATATAAAAAACTACCATAACCTGTTTCTTCAAAAATGTTGTCCACGCTTAAAGTTGATAGTCTTGCTTTAAGGTGGTATTTATGGAGTAAACCCTGTATTGTGTTTTGTGCTAAATCATAGACATTATGAAGCCAGTCTTCAACCTGAAATACGATGTTTTTCAACCCTTTAATTCTTCTAGAATTTTCTTCCTGTAAATGGTTACACTTGTCAATAGAAAGGAATGTTGCTCAGAAGTCTTTTACAGACCCATATCTTTATGTTTACTGCACTTTTTTTTTTTTCTTCTGGTATTTTGTTTATATGTCTATCTATTAATGTACTTGCGACATTGTCAAAATTAACCCTGACTGTGGCCAGAGTTTATAGAGTTTTCTACAAAAAAGCCTTGTTGATTTTTTCTGTGATGAGAATTAAGATGCCTCCCCAAGCTACCTCAGTACCTGTTTTATCTGTCAGAGCTTTTTCTCTCTTCTATTTGTTGGTTTGGTTTGGTTTGGTTTTTTTTGGTTTGTTTTGTTACAATCTATTAGACACCAGCCAGGCAGGGACTGTGCTGAGTCCACCTTCCTCCCACAGCGTGGGCTGTCTGGCTTGCATTTGTCTTAGCCGTGATGTGGTTTATAGCGAGGTTAGAAGGTAGGCACCATTTTAGTTTGTTCCTTGGTATGGTCAGTTTTTAGGGCCATGGTAACACTAATACAGAAAATAAAGAACAGTACAGTAGCAGATGATCCAGTGAGCAATTTAGATAGAGTAATGGGTGGTGAAATGTGGGAAATCTGAATGTAGCCTAATCTTAACATGTTTTTATTAATATTTTCAGTTAAATAAAGAGATTTATTCTAGTATCCTTTTAGTTTTAAAAATAGTATTGAAATGCTGCAAACAGTATAGGCATTTGTCTACTATCATATAATTATTTGTCTGAAGTTGTGTTTGGAGTTGAAGTCAGAACTAGTGGGAGGCATTTATTTTTAGAATGAAGTCATTCAGAAGGAAAAGAGCCTTTGTCTCATGATTCTGTTAAGCCTGAAATTTCATATTAAGAAGTGAATAGGTTTTCAAGCTGTCAAGCACAGTATCCAGAACTAATGAACATCTGACTTTTTTTTTATTTTATTATTTTTTGTTCATATGTGGGTTAGAAGAAAGTCTTACGTATGCATGAGGATAAAGTCAGCTAGACGTGGAACCTTGAATTAGAAGTCTGTTGTCATATTTACTTTTATAGCACTGAACCATAAGCACCTACTTTATGAAAATCTGCTAAGTATGAAAGCATGCCGTGTTATTTATACTATTTTTACTTTTGGTTTGAGTTATACAGCAAATTAAGGTCAGCATACAGAATTTTAGCATGGATGAAAGCAGAAATTGAGGGGAATAGCTATATGGTTACATCCCTGTAACATACTTTCAAACTCCTGCCTAGTGGGCTAGATAAAAGTGGGAACTTTACGGTGGAAATGCTGAAGAAGTTTGTTAGTTATAGCGTGGTTTTGAGAAAACCGGTGGTCTATTGTAGCATGACTGTGTATACTATCTGTTCTCCTTTCCTTGTCTCAGTGACTCTGAGGCAACATGCATTTCCACAGACCTGATCTAGGTCTCTGTGCCAGTGCCAGCCCTTGCTTTGGATTTTGTGCGTTGGCATTTAAGCTGCACAGAATCTCCACCTTCTGTTGTCATTTGAAGGCTGTGAGTCTGAATGGATTTTGTAAGCAGTGTGTGTTCTAGAGCACTCTTGTTTTTTTGTTAGACTGTAATATTTCTTTTGATAGTGATTAAGATGCGTGAAAAATACTGTATTTCAGTTACACCAGGACAGCAGGATTCTTTCCTCACTGATAGTGGAAAGGTTCTAGTAGATCTTGAATGAATGTCAAAATTAATTGTGTTCTCTGTGTTACAGTATTATCTCTTGGCCTCAGAGAAGAATATCATTCTGTTTTTCTTTTTTTTTTTTTTAATCAGCAGTAATTATTTTTATTTGCAGTTATATGCAGTAAAAAATCTGCATTTTCAATGCAGTGTCAACTGAACCTACTACCTGTAATAATTACAGCTTTTGAAAATGGCAAGTACATTTAAAATGTCAAAACTTTAGGCAAAGTATCCCATGAAGGATAAAGGTAATTCCTAACATGACAGTCTTCATTTAAAAAGTTTGCTAATGCTGGCAACTTTCTGGAGCAGATACTGTTATTTTTTAATCCAAGTTACCTAGTAATGAGTACAAAGTCATTCATCTCTGGAGTAGAAGATAGTCCTTGTTTTGAACGGATTCCAGTGTGAGTGGCTGTTGTTCATGGAACCTCTCAGTTCCAAAATTGTGCAGATTAGTAATGACATATAGAACTGGATATGTGTTTTATGGTTACTGTATGGGTACTATATACTAAGTATATTTAGTAAACATTGTATGGTAAAGTCATCCTTTTCCTAATATTTTGCAACTTTTCTCTCCCCCCCCGATACTAATTTTTAAGCTAAAAGTTTTATCACTACTTCTAATTGCTACTATCTTCCTTTTCTTACAGTGGTGGGAAGGACAGCTGTTATAATATGATGCAGTGTGCTGCTGCTGGGCATCAGATTGTTGCTCTAGCCAATTTAAGACCTGCCGAAAACACAGGTATGAAGCCACATTTCTTATAGGAGATTTTACTTTTTTATGTGTATTAGAAACAACGGAGGCACAGCTGTGCCTGAATTAAGTTTTTTTTCTTATGTGATTATATATAGTTTTGCATATTGAAGGGCAATCTAGAAATCTTAGGTAGAAAAAAGAAAATGCTATAGAGATGTATTAAACGTATTTTTCCTCTAAGGAGGGAGGTAAAATGCAACAAAATGAAGATCAGTAAAGAAAGGCTTGCGCAATTTGAAAAAGGGAGAATACTATTCCTGGTGTTAAACAAAGGGATTGTGTGAATTCAGTAGCACAAATAGTGAAAGGTGGTAGAGGATATCATCAAGCAAAACAAAAACTGTATTTTTAGAAATGCTTTAAAATGGCATAAACCATTCCAGTTGCCAAAAATTGGCAGTTTTGCTGTTGCTCATGCCTTGTGTATCTTCCTCCATTACTCTAACCCAGCATTTGTGAATTGGATGGAGGAACTGATCTGGGTTGGAATAGACCTTGATGCACTGTTTCCTGCATTTTCCTTTCTGTTTAGCTTGGGCCAGATTTCTGATAGTTCCTCACAGGCTGTACCTAGACTTATTTCTATGAAAGAGAATGTGAGAAACTCAGGAAGTTTGTCAGTGGGGAGGTAAGAAGGTGAGCTGAGTACTTCTTTGTTTGACTAGAGCATAAATTGAACTTGAAGTGAGTTATTTCCCGGTTAGTAGGGTGAACATAATTAACGTAGGTTGACTGTTCAACGTATGTTAAACAATTAAGTGCAATACCTAGTCACTGTATGGTTATGTATGTAACCGTATATAACTTCCTACCACATATACATGTTTATGTATGGTAGAAAGATACACAGAAAGTGAAGAAAAAAAGGGAACTGATGTCACAAATGAGTCATGGGTGGAATTGGCAAATGCTAGGGACTAGAGGAACAATTTATTTTCTGGGTAGCTAGTACATAATCATCTCTAATCTTGTTGAAATATGTTGTCTTTAAACTAATTTATCCACATCAGAAATGGAGAATATTGTCATTAAAATCATAAAATGCTCTCTTTAAGTGTGTAGTTGGAAATTTTGTGGAAAGTTAATTGAGGTGCTTCAGGCAATAGCGGATTCTATGTCATTCATTTTATTTTATCTTGTACCACTGTTGCCTGGAGAGTCTTAGTTAATAAAGAAACTGTATTCTGAACTGAGTATCCATTTAAAGACCTCGTCATATTTATGTGTTTTGAAAACTACTGAGTTTTGTTTTAAATCGACCCTTCTGTTTTAGTTTGGTTAGTTGTGATTGTGGGTTTGGATTTGCCTATTTTGAGCAAAAGCATATCTGTTCTATGGTATCAAATGTGACATGACCTAATTTTTACTTCACAAATTAGTTATCTTGTTACAGGCCTTTCGCTTCGCAAAATGTGCTACATAGGTACACAGCAGGGATGCTTGATGTGCATGTGTAGATTTAAAGAGACGTTCAGGTATTACAAATTAGCATTAAAATAGTAAATAGTGGAGATTTCAGTAATAATAATGTATTGCTTTATCAATCTCTTTGAAAAATTATTTGAAATATTTTATATGTAAACAGTTTATCGTATTGTTGGAGATTTAATTCTAATCTATGATGTCTACATTTTAGCTGGTTTTTTTCTTATCTGCTACCTATAAACTGCTTGTAAGAAAATCCAGTTAAATTTTTCTCCTGGTTAAGGAGATAGTGGCAAGCAGTTGATTTCATTTCAAGTTTAATTTTTAAAAGGAGTGAAGGTAGAAAGGGCCTGGCTATTATGACAGATTTCCTTTTCTTTTCACGTATTAAGCACTGTCAAAACATAGCATTTTACTTTTATTCTACTTAAGCAGAAATAATCTCTTCTTCTTGATGACCAGATAAACAGTAAAGGTACTGTAAATTTTGACAACCTATTGCTTATTCTCAGTGTTCCAGTGCATTCCAACTTTCTTGCTCTAAGTATGTCGAAATGCATCTGGGTTTGTGCCTCTGAGCTGTGTTCCTATCAAAACTACCATATAAATAGGAGCAGGATTCGACCATTCTGAGATTTTTGGATGAAACAGGGATGAATACTAAAGAAGAAATAGACACCACAATTTACAGATAGATAATATATTTGTGACATATGTCTTCCTCTTCATACATCTGTCGGGTGGAGAAATCTATTTTTTTTTTTTCCATGTTTATAAAGGTATTGTCACCAAACATCTGTTTGTGAACTGGAAAATACGAACATTTAGGTTTTCTCAGTGCTTTGTATTATTGTGATTATCTGTAATTGTGGAAATATTGGACACAGTATGATTGCTTCTTAACTCTTGCAGGGCAGAGTGATGAATTGGACAGCTATATGTATCAAACAGTAGGACACCATGCCATTGACCTATATGCTGATGCGTTAGACTTGCCACTCTACCGTGGTTTCATAAAGGGTACCAGTGTAAATACTGGAAGAGTGTATACAGCATGTCAGGAAGATGAAGTTGAAGACCTTTACCACCTCATGAAACTTGTTAAGGTATGCTGAATGAAGAGAGTTAAATAACTGGGGACAATTATATTGCTTAACTAATTTATTAATTCAAATAAATTATCCACTTAGGTATTTAAGGGAAGCTTTGCGAAAAAAATGGAACACTTTTACAAGATTTATTTCTTTGTTCTTTGCATATATATAGTGTAACTTAGTTTTTTTTCCCCAGTGTAAATCAGACACACTAATCCCTATTTCGAACCAAAACCTTGTTCCTATTTGATGAAAACACCTGTAGCAAGTACTTGGTATATACTAAAAAAACCCCCATAATTGTGAAAATTTTCTGTAAGTAAAAAATGTTTATGTAGTTCCATACTTGAAAGAATGCATTGCTTGATTACTGGAATGAGAGATTTTGTACATTTATCGATATATGGAAAATAACATCTAGACATTGCCATTTATGTACACTTAAGCGCTGTAAACCAGAATCTGTTATTTGTTTTTATGTTGCAGATCATTTGTAAAGTATTACAGAATATTTTAAAATGGTGGTTTTGATTCTGGTACTCCTGTAACTTTTTTCTAATATATCACATAATAGCAATAACATGTATCAATCCATTTTAGCTATAAAACCAGTTAAAGGGAGATAATGGGCCTGTTTCCTAAAACATTTGAAATTTATGCTCTGTTGTTTTCCAAAGTGTTTCTTGTGGTACTTTATTTTCCACCAGAATTAAATTGGATCTCATTGAAATAAATAGAAAACCTCCCATTGACTCTAGAGGTTTTAGACAAAGTTTAAGTCAATGTACTATGTCTATTCCGGGTAATTGTGTTGATGTCTGTAGTTCACAGTACTAAAACAATATAGTGTTGTGAAAATCATATTAATTGCTCTTTAAAAAAAAAGGTAAATCCATGTTTAGTTTTATTGATCTTTCTGAAACTTCAGCTGAAGTTATTTTTGGTCTTCTATTCAGGTATTGAATATTTTCTCACCCTTTTTCCTCCATTGAAATGAGAATTGAGATTCATGAACCTAAAAGCTTTAGGCTTATTCTTTGTTCAGTTTTAAAAGATTATTAACTTGCAGATGAGAATGTGGTTTGAGTGCAGAAAGCTTTCTGAACCATGATGGAGTCAAATGTTACATCTTGTAAACATTTTTGACAAGGAAATCATGTTTTTCTAAAGTAAAATCAAGATCTTACACCTGTAGTGGAGTATGAGACTATGAAGTAAGAGAACAGTGCATATAGGCTATATAGCCTCAAACTGTGCCAGGGGAAGTTTAGACTGGGTATTAGGGAAAAATTCTTCACTGAAAGGGTTGTCAAGCATTGGAACAGACTTCCCTGGGAAGTGGTTGTGTCGCAATCCCTGGAGGTATTGACAAGATGTGTAGAGGTGGCACTTACGGACGTGGTTTAGTGGTGGTGGCAGTGTTAGGTTAAAGGTTGGACTCGATCTTATGGGTCTTTTCCAACCTAAATGATTCTGTGATTCTATGATTGCACTTTAGAGTGCATTACAGAGGTTTTAAATGGAATGTGCATATCCTGCAATACAGGAATTGAAAGAAATATGGTACAGCAGTTTTAAATTATCATTGAACTATGGTAGTATTAGAAATTAGAAGGACCAGTATATGCTGTCTCTTAAAGCTGCATATGAACAGCTTTCTGCTTCTGAGTGAGATAATAAATTACTGATCAATTTAATTAAAAATGGGCAGATTAGTGGCAATTAAGATGATGCTTCCTTTTCGATTCTTGCTGTCTTTGGAGAAATGGATGCCTGACATAAATTAATCCTAACATTAAATCTTGACAAATTCTGCTTTGGAAGTTTGTACATGATAATTATAACTATAGTCAAAAGAGATGTTATCAAGTTGTCTGGAACTAAATAACTACTTCTTTCCTGTATAGCAATAATAATTCTACTGTATGATATTTTAAAGATATAAATATTAACAATATACTGCTTTTATGTTAGACTTCGGATAACCATGTCTTTATAGTCAAACCTATTTATGAAATTCTGGTGCAAAAGTTTCAGTAGAAGTCTTGCATATTCTGATGCAAAATTATCAGGGTATTTTTAGTTTTAAAGAAAAGATATGAAAATTTTTACTTTGTGTTTTAACAGTAACTTTGAAAGCTTTCTGTTTTTATCTTTTCACATTGATTTATAACTGTAGTTTTGTGGCTTTACTATGTAAGTTCTAATCACTGAGGATTTTGCTTTAGGAATTTTTTTCCCCCAGATGTTAATAGTTTTAAACAGAGAACCCCATTTGCATTCTGTTGAAGGGAGGGGAGGAATTCTGCAGAAGCCTTGTTAAAACACATCCTTGAGTGGATGTAATTTCAAAACACTGTTCAAACTAACATAACTTTTTTTCTTTCAAATGGTTTGAACCCAAGAATACAGGAAAGGTGTGTCTAGATCAAAATTACATAGTGTGCCTCACTTTCTGTTTGTAAAGAATGCTTGTATTGCAAGTACTTGCTTATTAAAAAATTAAACCACATTTGAAAAACTAGTATGAATTAAAAAGTATTTGGTGTTTTTTTTAAAAACAATATTACAAGAAAAAGATTTCCAAAAAGTTAAATATTCCTCTGCAGGGATAGGAAACCCAGGACAACAGACTTCTGCTAGTCTGTGAGACTCAGAAGGTGGTGCGAGTGACTGTAAACCTGCTAATTTTATTATCACAAACCCAGATGATTGATAGGAATGAAGAAAATTTAATTTTAATTTTGATTTGCCTAGTGCCCTGCTTTAGATTCTGTAATCAGTATATATTGTGCAACATATTGGAATACTTACATGATGTCTATATGTATTTTACTATGCAGTCCTCACCTGGTCGTAGAATATTTACTTTGAGACATGTAAATCCTGAACTCTATGGAATAATTAAATCTACTCTCCATGTTATTGAATAGGCATTACAGACACCCTGATTTGTCCATATTTGTTGCTTTGTGTATTGGAGATTTTTTCCAGCAAAGCATATAAGCAATACTTAATCGTCTGGATTATCCTTCAGAGTCTTACCAGGAAATGTGTGGGAAAGCTTTGTTTCCCTTCAGTGGTTGGAAAGACTGGTGCATGGAGGCGTTTTTATGAAACTTTCCTACAACATTCTTCTCAATATAGGCATATTTAACTGCTTTCTCCCCTTTTCAATGTAATTATGATCTTGTTCAAATAGAACATTGATGTTTCATGCAAGCACATACAGAAGTGGTGTTAGACGGGTTGGATGTTGGATTGTTTTCTGTATCTCCTGGAACTATGGCTAAACTTTTGTTAGGGCAGTGATTATAGGAGCTTCCAGACTATACAGACTAATGCAGGATAATTTATTTCAGTTCTGGGTGTCAGTAGACAGTTCTGTCCACTTCCAAGTTTCTTGCCTTCCTTATCTCCTCTGCTCTGTGAAGGCTTTTGCTTTATTTGATAAGTTTCCACTACTGGAGTAATCTGTAGAATTCTTGAACTTTATAAAAATGATGGAATGTTGGTGTGTGGGGGTTGTTTTTTTGTTGGGTGTTTTTTTGTTTTTTGTTTTTTTAGATTACTATTTAAAATTTGGTTCTATTTATAGTTTCTTTGTAATATCTCCCTGTACTTACTATAAAGCATGCAAGCTGATTTTCAGTGAATATTCAGTTTTAACATGTTATTTCTGTCAGTTCTTTCTGTGGTGCATGTCCTGGTTCCTTCAGAACCTGCAAGCTTACAAAACACCAGAGTATACTTGAATATACTGGATCTCAGGACTGAAGGGTTATTAATTATGGTATCATCTATTGATTATCAGATGAAAAATAAGAATTGATGTTGGATATATTGGATGTACGAGACATTTGACACAGCTATTGCTTGTGGCACTTTCATTTTTTTCAGTAACGTGGAAGGGGAGAGAAAGACAATTTATTTTCTAAAATATTGTCACATTTTGGAGCTCTGATCTTGTAACTCAGTTGCATTCTGAAACAGTGATCATTGTAACTTGATCAGTCACCAAGAATAAGTAACTTTTTTTTTTTTTGTTACAGCACAAGGAACTTACTAATATAGCGTGAGTCCTGTATTTAATAATTACTCTTTAAGAACAGGATCGTGATTTTTGAAATGGACCCAGACTTATGTTTACTGAAGAATGGAAGTATTCCTGTGTAAGAGTTAAAATGACAATGGCTGTGTAATTTTAGATGTTATTTAAGGTGTTACCTTGCTTTAGACAAAGTACTTCAGCTGTGCAGGTTCAGGTGGAATTGAGGTACTATCATAATTCAGTGAAACTCCCTAAGACTTGGAGTTCTTCAGGAAACAGTTCAGGGTTTGAGGTAAATGGGTGAAATACAAGGTTATTCTGTGGCCTTTGGATAGGGGTTAATTCCCTCACAGAAGATAAAACTTTAAGTTCCTCATTATTGCTAGCAGTCTTTCTTTCACACTTCTCCAGAATTTAGCTGCTGTGGCAAATAGGTAAACTTAGTCCTTGCATTCAATCTGATAACTAACTTTGTCGCTTTTGTACAGCCAGATGTCTAGAAGCATCCATCAGGAAAAATACATGAATAAATGTAATGCAGTATTCTACTGCAGGCATTGCTTGACTGTCTTCACTATTATAAAATGCATTTCAAAGAAACAGCGAAGTATTTGGAAATAGTCATTTGGCTTTTATGTCCATTTTAATCAGCTCTTGGTAGTTCCTGTGAATTCAGTGGTAGTATTTATATGATAAAGACTAATAGCATATGCTTAAATTGTACTAATAATGCTTGCAGATTTTCTTAGGAGTCTTAAAGATCTAAATATTATTAGTTACGGAATCCTGATTGACTTCAGTAATTTGTAATCTGAGGACATCAGCATACTGTTCACCGAACTATGTTCCCAGTTGAAAGTCTGATATTTTCCCTATTATGATTTGAATTACTTGTAGACGCGTAGACAAATCCCTCAAAGGTATGTTCCTCAACATTTTTGAAAATGATTGAATTGTAGGG